CATCGTGTATGTTTGCGTTTGTGTGTGTGTGTGTGTGTGTATGCGTGTGTATGTATGTGTGTGTGTGTGTGTGTATGTGCGTGTTGGTGAAAGTGAGTCTGTGTGTTTTGTGTATGCGCGTCATGTATGTGAATGTGTGCGTTCTTTCTTGTTTCTAGCAACAGAAAGATTTAGTCTTATGGCGTGCATCTCCTTTTGCATTTTTGTACAGATACTGACCCCAAGGCAAAGCCTACTATTGCTTCATCAAAATCCACCGAGGACTATGGGGAGGATGACAGCTACACTCTCACCTGTAACAGTGGTGCTGAGATATCAACAATGACGTACAAGGTAAACATTTTAATTGTAGATCTACATGCTTTACACTCCTAGCCGTAGGTAGGTAGCTAGCTAGGTAGGTGGATGGGTATGTACGAGGGGGAATCAAAAAGTAATGCAAGTTGTTCGTTATTTTGCACAATTTTGCCTCAAATTTAACGGAATTCAGCTCACAAGTGCTTGCTTCGGTACTTCTGAACTCAGATTCTTAAAATCTAAGTTTCTTTAATTTTGACTCGAATGACGTCACATCAAAATGGCTACCCTCTTGGAGCTCTGTCAGAGGTAAAGAGCCGTGATTGAATTCCTTGTTTTAGAAGGAGAATCCGTCGATAACATCCAAAACCGACTTCAAAATGTTTATAAGGACCAAGCTCTAGATTTTGGCACTGAATATAGTTGGGTCAGGACGTATGTGCAATGAACCGGAAGAAGAGGAAGACGTGTCCATGTGCTTATCAGACAAGCATCGTCCAGAGGAGGTAGCCTGAAATATCATGGCAATTGTGTTTTGGGACGTTCATAGGGTGCTTCTCACAGATTTATTTTTTTTACCACGAGGAGCAACTGTCAATTCTGAACCCTACATTGAAAATTGAAACCAAGAAAATCAAAAATCCGACGAGTCCGACCAAATTTGAACATGGAAAGAGTGTTTTTTCACCATGACAAAGCCCGCCAGCATTCGAGTACTAGAACAAGGGAGATAATCACTCCGTTTATGTGGAAAACACTGCCCCACCCGACTTATTCTCCTGATTTAGCTCCTTTAGACTTCCACCTTTTCTTTCAAGAAAAGAACCATTGAGGGGTCAACACTATTGAAACGAAGGAGAAATAAGGACTGCTGTACCCCAACGACCAACCTGCTTAGTTTTACGAAGCTGGCAGAGGTCGACTTAGTAAAAGGTAGACAGTGGCTATTGAATAAAATGGAGACTATGTTGAGAAATAAAAATCTGATTTTCAGAT